TTGGACATAGGGAGGGCTCTTGTTGGGGAAGACAACACCACTTGGTGAAGTGGGACTTTATTTGTTATCCGTTCTATGAAGGAGGCCTCGAAATTTGCCATTTTTCGGACATTGTCATCACTTTCTCTTACAAGATGTGGTGGCGGTTCAGGGATGGGAAGTCTTTTGGGGCCCAATATCTACACGAGAAGTATTACCCTAAAGGTGTCGTTCATCCCTGCAGGGTATGGCCACCAATCGGGATAGTATATAGTGAAAGCGACTCACCAGAGTATGTAGACGCTCACATGAGCATATCTTCTGGTCCCTGGGTGAGGGGGTATTAGCTTTTGGGATGAGCGGTGGTTTGGTGAGGGCCCCTTTTCGATCACTAGATAAGTCACTCACTCCCTTTCTATGAGGATGAAGGATTTGTGGACCAGTGGGATGTGGGATAAGGATAGATTAAAGAGGGTCTTGGCTACTCGAGCGGGCTTTAGTAACCACCTTTTAGAGCAAATCCAATAGATTTCCATCTCGGAGGGTCGTTTGGACGGTATGAGGTAGAAGCTTACATCTCAGGTGTTTTTCTATACGTCCTAGGCTTAGGGAGAAGTTCGGCATGGTGACCGGACTAACCTTCTCTTCGGGGCCATTTGGACCGATCCCTTACCTTGACCATCTTTGTCTTCCTTTAGCGCATTCTTTTGCGCCGAATTCCGATTGACTATGTGGTACAGGGAAAGGGGGTTTCTTTCCTCTCGTGGTATTATAACTATACCGAGAATGGTGATTTCTAGACTGAGACCTTTTCTATTTGTTCTTAGAGAGAGTGCAAGGAGAGTGTGAGAGCATTTTTGCACTCATATATCCCTTCCCACTATAGACAGATTCTTTGTGCTCTTGAGTTTTTTCTCATTGCGCACACACTGTAGACACTTGGGCTTCCTCATATCTTTTCTGATCCTGTATTTCATCTGGACAGAGACGAATATTGCGAAGTATAGGGATTTTCATTTATGAGCTCTCACGTTATTTTTTCGGTGAATCAACATCTTTATCTCCTCATAGCTATAGACAGACTCACGCCTAGATACAGGACATGTTGCACACCACCTCACTGTTTCATGTTGCCTCCATTGCCGCTTGCTCAGCAACCATGACCCAGAGCCGTTGTTTGACTGAGACTTGACCCCCCTTGGATTAAGCTGAATACTAATGGATCCTTCGACCGACTCACTAGAGCCGCTAGAGGTGGGTGGCTGGTTAGGGATCACACCGGAGATCTCATTTTTTTTCATCCATGCCCCTCTTCGGGCCTCCTCGAGCTATGACGCAGATATTCATGCGCTTCAAATTGGTCTGCAGGTTGCTGCCTCTATCTCTACACACATTTAGATTGAGCTAGATTCTACCGTTGTTGCCACCCTCTTGACTTCGGGTCAACAGGGATCGTGGGAGATACAACACCCACTCATTCGCATAAGATCTACACTCCAGTCGGTTCGCAATTGGGTTCTGTACAACTTTTGAGAGGAAAACCGTCCAACTAATTTTCTAGCCAGCATCGGTGCCTCCACTCACCAAAGATGCACTTTTGGCCCGGTCAACATCCCGCTTCGACTCCACACCCATGTGCGGATGGATCAGGGCGTCTACCACTCTTTCATAGTAGCTTTTTAGTTTCTTTTTTATGTGCACTTTTTTTTTGGATCATTTGTTGGTTAGACTGCTCGCCGGGACACCTCCAGCCCAGGTCAAGACTCTCCCTTTTTGGGTGATCTTTTCCTTTTCTCCATATTTATTTTTGTTGGTTGGATTTGTATAGAACTTTATTTATCTCAGTTCTTTTAAGGTTTTGACTGTATACGGTTTGGGGAATTTGCCTTAGTCCCACACCTTTTTGGGTGTTTTACCAAAAAAAGTAAGAAAAAATATTATCCAAAGCATTGTTCACCAATCACTGAAGCCAAAGTTCATGCTTCAATTTTTTAAAAGATAAAAGTTGTGCGTCTTAAACTGCCAAAATTAAAAAGTTGTGTTAAAATTATAACTAAAGTAAAAAGAAATGGGAATTTATTTTGTATGCAGCAGGCCATAATATATGATAGGTTGGACTCATTAGGTGCCTCACACAATAAATTGTGAGCAAACTAAAAAGTAGCTCACAATTTAGCAAACTAAAAAGTAGCTTATACTCCGAAATCCAAATTCTTCCACCAAATGCTCTCACATCTATCTAACTCTCTCTCTCTCTAGAAACCCCATCCCCCTTCTTCTACCCAATCCCTCCTTTCTTCTTTTCGATCACCTTTCCCAGTTAGTCGACGGATGCTGGCGGCGAGCCGCCCGTTCTCGAGTGGTCGGCCAGCCTTTCTTTCCGCCACCTCTCTCTCCCTCTTTCATCCCGTCTCGTCAAGATGTTCTTCCCAAACCCTCAGATTGCGCCATTTTCATTCCCGACTGGCTCTCTCTCACAGACCTCGGGTGAGATCCAAGGCAAAATTTCCTCAAGGACTAACAGATTTAAAAAATTCATCAAATCTGTTGCTCGCCTAACAGTACCATCGCACGACATGACTCACCTTACTCGAGTAGAAGGTCCACCGGCACATGGCAGTTCCCGCACAGGCGGCTCACCATTTCCTTTTGGCGGCCCATCCTTGATAGCTACAGCGCCGCCTCTGCCTTTTTCAGCGCCGCCGCC